AACCCTTCACAAAAATATGGCTGGTGGAGTGGCTCAAGGTAAAGGCCCTGAGTTCAAACCCCACACACACACACACACACAAATTCACCTTTAAAAAAGGAGGACATTTCTTCTTAAAATAAAGATAATAAAGGAGCCAGACATGGTGATGCATGCTGGTAATCTGGGCTATTCAGGAGTTAGAGTCAGGAGAATCACAAGTTTGATACTAGCAAGGCAGTTAGTGAGACCCTATCTCAAAAACAAAGTACAAATAAAAGCATTAGGGGCATGGCTTAAGTGGCAGAACACTTGCCTAAGCACTAGGCCCTGGGTTCGATTCCCAGAAAAATGAATGAATGAATTGAATTGTAATAAAGGATTGAGATGTAACTCAATGGTAGAGTACTTGCCTATCATGTGAGAGGTCTTGGGTTCTATCCCCAGTAAGACAAAAATTTTATTAACTAATTAAGAAATAAAGGTAAAAATAACCATAGAAAGTTACTCCAAAAGCACAACTTGGTCATATTGTCATTTACATAAGTGGGGACATAAATGAACCTCCAGATGAAGCATCAGCAAGCATGGCTCATGAGTCAAATATAGCCTGCTGCCTGATTTTATAAATAAAGTTGTATTATAGGACAGCCACTCATATTTATTTACATATTATCTATGGTTGCTTACATATTACAAAAGCAATTAAGCAGCTGAGCAGCTGCAATAGACTCTGTATGGCCCAGGTAACCTAACGTGCTTACATCTAGCCCTTTGCAGAAAATATTCCAACCCCTGTTCTAGAGCAGAGGTGTCCAACAGAATTTTCTATGGTGATGGAAATGTTTTAATCTATATTGTCAATATAGCCACTGCTCACTGCATGTAGGTATTAATCACTTGAAATGTGCTTAATGCATCTAAAGAATTAACTTTTTTAATTAATGTGAAGTAATCTAAATTTAAATAGCTACATGTGCCTAGGAGCTATAGGACAGATAGCAAAATCACAAAGGTTTGAATAGGAAAGGATTAATTGAAAACCTGTGATGCTTCTTGAGATTTTTGGTAGAAGATTTTTCTTGAAGTCAAGATGCAAAAATCAACTGTAATATGAAACATTACCTATGTGCTGACATACAACTTTACCAGAAAAATCAGGCCAAGGAAACATTTTATTCAGTCTTTTGATATTCAAGAAATTAGTATGTTTCTATTTAGAACCTTTTTGTGACCCTTGTGAGCTTGTCCTACTGACCTAACTGGGGGCAGCTGGAGATTCAGAAAGGACAAAAGATAGAAGACAAACATGTGTTGGAGACCAGGCATGAACCCTGGACTGGGAAATAATGGAGCTTGCACAACTTCTCCATGGTAGGAGTTTTGCACAGTCTCTCCTACTCTCATTTTTCCCAGCACTGGTGTATTGACCTTTGTTCGCACATCTCCTTGAAGAAAACAACCTGCTGTGTCTGCATACCAGCTCCCTGATGCAAAACTAGATAAAGTACCAGAACTGTTAGGAGACTCCCTGATGCCAGATTCATCAATACCTTAGATAAGGTGTCCTGCGTGCCTTGATGATTCCAGAACAGATGTGTTGTAATTAAGCTTCATCAGCCTTAGGAAAATTAGCCCACCAAACCTCATTCCTGTCACCTTGCATCAAGAATTGTTAAAGCTTGAATTTTACCTGAGTCTTTTCCTTGTACTGACCTAATAAAATAAACACTCTGGCTCAGGTAGGTACTCACGTTTCCCATCAGGAATGTGCAGCCCTCCGGACACCAGTGTTCTGTTTTATGTTGTATGTCTGTATGTCTGTGTGTGTCTTACTTCTCATTCCCCACCGCTCTTAGTCAGGTTCATGCAGCATACCCATGCAGGTCACAGGCAAACATGAAGGAAGCTGGGGTCAGGTGTGCTGGGTGCTTGGATGGAGACAAGAGCCTCATTACTTCTTTTTCATTTCTCTTCATTTACTTTGCTTCTTTTCGCTATTCTTTAAAACCTTTCTTCTTTTCTCTATTCTTTAAAGCCTTACATCTTTTCTATTCTTTAAAGCCTTTCTTCTTTTTCTCTTCTTTAAAGTCTCAGTCCTCAGACTTGCACTGTCCCATGTTTTGTTTAGCTTTTCTTTATCATATGTCTCTTCTTAAAGTCTTGGTCCTCAGACTTGCAGACACACAACAGCAGCCATCCCCTGCAGCCTCACAAGCAGCCAACTTCACAAGCAGCCAACCACATCCTCCTTCAGTGAGTCTTTTATATACAGTGGAAAATAAGCAGGTGGAGCAATAGTTCTCAGGGAGGGGGAGTGACATCGTAACAGGAGAAACCTGTAATCATTACTCTCTGACCATAAACATCTTACAAAAATCAGCTGTGCCACATTTTGCCCTTGCCCCCTTCTGTGGCTGGGGCCATGCCAACTCAGCCTGCAGATTATTCAGCAAAACTGTGCTTATGTCAAGTTTTCATAGGCTTCTTATAATCTGCTCTCCACAGAACCTAAATACAAACAGTCCTCAATTTATGATGGGCTGTACATTCTAACATACCCATTCTAACTCCAGATGTGGGGGTGCACACCTGTAATCCCAACACAGGGTTACTGAGGCAAAAGGACTGCATGTTCAGGGCCATCCTGGGATACATAGTAAGGTCCTATCTCAAAAACAAACAAAAGAAAAAACCAAAAAAACAACTCAATACACCCAGGTAAGCTTAAAACAGTAAAAGTAAAAGCTACACTTAATATACTTAACCTACTGAACATCAAAGCTTAGCAATGTTTTATACCATAGTGTATCATTATTTACCATTGTGATCCTGTAACTGACTGGGAATTGTGGCTTGCTGCTGCTACCAGCATCTAGAGAGAATATTATACTATATATTGCCAACAGGAAAAGACTGAAATTCAAACTTTGTATACAGTTTCTATTGAATGCATACTGCTTTTGTACCATCATAAAGTTGAAAAATCCAAAATCAGAAACTGTCTGGTTAAGTCTAACACAGCAGACCTGAGGCTGCTATCCAGAAACCTTATTTGCAAGGTTGACCTTTAGCTTCCATCCGTGAACATGACTGGCAAGAAGTACCCTACAACCTATATAAAACTGTGCCTGATAAGGGTGGCTCACAGTGCTTAAACTATCTACACAAACAATGTAGTTAATGCTTCTGGGAGTCTGGATTTTTGGTATGTGCTAAGCAGAGGATGCTTACAATAAAAATCATAGGCACTGAGTCTAATGGGCATCCCTGAGCAGAAACATCATATTTATGTCCCCATACTTTCATTGCTGAAGGACAGTAAACTCAGTGTAATCCCTCTAGAGGAAGAGAGCACGAGAAACCTTTTACATGGATACCGCAGATTCCACCTACCTTTTTCTCTTATGATCCTAAGATTAAATCTTAGCCACAAGTACAACTCTGTGTCGAGTTCTACAAGTCCTTCTAACAAATCTCCAAATGTAGGGGTGATACTGGTGACCCCAACACAAAAACAAATAAGAGAATTAACTTCTTTAATATAACAGTTTTCAGGATAAAGTCCAAAAAAGCTGATTTTCCCACTGTGACATTTTGACCTTTACGTAAGTGATCTCATGGTAAGTGGCTTCTTCCTATACAAAGAATTACTAGGCTCACCACTTTAACAATTCTTTGTTTGCTTTCTCCCATTTCAGAACCACACAATCTTCAGAATGTGTCTATTCTTTTTTCACTTTAGATATCTTAAAGGCAAAAGAGCTTATTTTGGTCAGAAAAAAAGAAAGCCACACTGAACATTAGCCTACCTATCTTGGTCTTAATTAGTTCACATCGCTTGTTTCTATAAATCGTAAGTTCAATAGTATTATTCCTTTACATGACTACACTTAGAACGAAAACAGCAGGTACATATTCACAAAATTAAATAGAAGTCACCAGACCCTTAAAAATATAGAGATAGATAAGAAGTATTTATGAGGTGGGCACCGGTGGCTCAGGCCTATAATCCTAGCAACTCAGGAGGCAGATATCAGGAGGATCACAGTTCAAAGCCAATGCAGGCAAATAGTTTGTGAGACCCTATCTCGAAAAAAAAAAAAAATCACAAAAAGGATTGGTGGAGTGGTTCAAGGTACAGGCCCCTGAGTTCAAGCCCCAGTACTGATAAATAAATAAAAAAAATGAATAAAATATTTTTAAAAAGGTACTTATGAGTATCCACAGAAACTTCTGTAAAACCCTTATTCTGCATTGCTGTTGTTGGTGATGGTTTCCTTACCTATTTTTTTCCAAAACCAGTTATTATTCCTGAATTTTATGTTGCCAAGTGATAAAAATAAGTTTCCTCCTTAGGTTTGTTACACAAAAAAAAGATGAGTTTAAAAGTCTAAAGAGTCTGGATTTGAAATCCAGTGTGACTGAAATGATGGCCCTAGTAATCTTCTCTTGTGATGTTTACTATGACTGCCTATTAGAGAAAAACAAAGGAATATATAACAACTCCGAAGAAGCAAGCACTTCATGTTCTCACCCCAAATCCACTGAGAACTTCTGAGTTAAAAAAAAGTCTAGGCCAGGCATAGTGAGGCACACTTGTAATGCCAGCTGAGGCAGGAGGCTGAGGCTTAGGCAGAAGTATCTCAAGTCTGAGGCCAGCCTGGGGTCCAATAGAGAACCTTGTCTCAAAAAACAAAAACATCTACCTGTCACATGTATTGTGACTGTAAGTTGACTCTGTGTAAAATGGCAAATAATTTTAGATAATTAAAAATGGTATGTATTAGATTTATATAACATGTTTTCTTATGACTAACAAGAATTATGTGACAGATAATAAAAAATGATTAATCAAGATATATTATAATTTTCCAATCCATACACAATATTGTAGCTTCATTTATAATTTTAGCAGGCTTAAAAATCATTTGTTGATTTAAGTAATCACTTTAGTTGTACCTTAAAATATCTTCATTTTCTTCAGAAACAATAGGAATCTAATTTGACATGCACTGTACCTTTAAATGACTGCTTGCAACAGCTTCATGTAAGGGCAAAATTCCATCTACATTTTCACAGTTAACATTAGCACCAACTTTTAATAACTCCACAATTACATCCTTGGATCCCCCATTAGATGCTTCGTGAAGTGGTGTCCAACCTAAAAAAGGAAAAAAGAAAATATATTCAAATTGTTCCTTACCAATCAACATTCATGTAGTATCTTTATTACTATGAGTTTTTGTATTACTGGAATTAATATCTATATTTATACATATATATATGCTAAGTATTAGACAAGAACTATTGAAAGCTATGGCATTAATATGTATAAATTTCATTTTGAAAACAAATTGATCTCTTCATAAATATGGCTGACACAAGTGCCAAAACAGAAGACTCACAGAATATAAACTATAATGGAATTAGAGTAAATGCTAATCATTTCAGTTTGTTTCAATTCAGATATAAGAATGTCTGACTTTCATATTTATATATTTGCATTGTCACAATTGTCTTTAAAATGACATCTGACTCAACTGACCATTGAATTTTCCCTCTGGAAATAGTCACACAATATACTTTTGTTCATAAGCAAAATGCCAAAAGACCCATTTTAAAAACAGAGGCTGAGAATTAAAAATAAGGGAAGAGGACTGGAGGTGTGGCTTAAGACATAGAACACATGCCTAGCCAGCATGAAGGTGAGTTCAAATCCCAGTGCCACACACACACAAAAGTCTTTAATAAACGAGGGAAGAGAGTTTTTTTAAAAAAAGAATAGTATAAAGGAAGCATGAAAGAGAAGAAGGGACCAAAAAAAAAAAGGCAACATTTTGCTTTCTCTCAAAAGGTAGGGAATGGAAATCAGGCTTTCAAGAAAAAGGCCTGCCTCTCTTTACTCCCATTTTGTATAGTGCCTTTGAACACTCTCACGTGGATATAAAAATGGTTACAAAGGAGAAAGTTACTTTAATAATGATAAATCTTACTATTCAACTAAATTAAAATATGGCATAAAAAGATTGTTCATTATGTATCATTAGCCATGATCAAAACTGGAGGTGGGAGAGAAAATTTGAGTTCAAATTATAAAAACAATTAAATTAAAATGATCCAAACCTGCATTATCTTTTAGATTCACATCTGCTCCAGATTCTATTAGAGCTTTCACTAGAGACAAATTTCCTCTTCTGGCAGCCAAATGAAGCTGGCATTCCTCTCTAGCATGCCTCTTACTGATTCCAGCTGTTCTCATTTCTGTAAATTTGTCAAGCAAAACTGAGGCTTCTTTTCTGTCAAATGCTGATTATTATAAAGGATCTTAGAAAATATATAAAAACTTCTTCAAAATATTCTAAGCAGGACATACTACACCAAATTAATTAATTTAACATCAATTAATATTAACACTGTTGCTCCTGTTTTAAAGCATAACTTCTGAAGAAATTATAGAGCATCTAAAGCACATTACTTCACATTCATTCTAGCAGTCAGTCAAAAACTTGATTAAAACAAATAATCTTGCTTCAGTTCTAAACTTATAAAACAACCACTTTATGATATAACAAAAAATCTTTTAGGCCAGGTATGGTGGTTTATGCCTATAATCCCAGCACTGGAGAGGTTGACTCTGGGGGATCACAAGTTCCAGGACAGCCTGGGCTACATAGCAAGAACCTGTTTCAAAACAAAAAATTTTTAAAAATCCTTTTCCTACAGCTAATGAAACAGGTATGTTCTTATCACATAAAGTATCAAGTATCAAACTATGGCCTTACTGAGTTTGAACTCAGGGATTCACACTTGCTAGACAGTCACTCTACTGCTTTGAGCCATGTTTCCAGCTGCTCAAAGATTCTCTTTTTAAAAAATCTTTCTTTGCAGTGTAAGTTAGAGAGACTTAAGTTGGAATTAAAAGCAATTAACAGATCATATGTTCTCCCCTCCCCCAAACCCTACTAAAATGATAGTATAAGGTATTTTTAAAAGTATCATGTAAAAAACATAGAGGAGGAAACAATAAAGGGCAGATTTCAACAAATTCTAAGAAACTGGAAAGGCACCATCGAAGAAAAGTGAACAGACTTAGCAGAGTGTGGAATGCTCCAACTGAGGGGCCTGCAAAGGGAAATATAGGAAGAAAGCCAATCAGATCCCAGGTAGTCAACACTTGGGGTCATCAGGAACCATGGAAGGCAGGCATGTGAAACAGGCCTACTACGACAGAGACTGACTGAAAGCTTATGTATAGAAAAGGTGGGTATTTAAGTTCTTTTTCTCAACTACTCCACTTGTCCCAGATCCTCATCTCAAAACCAGCAAACTGGAGCTTTATTTTCTGAAGGAATTACATCAGAGAAAATTCCTACTGAGATGCGAAGAAAAATAGAGGGGTAGGGTGATGAAATAGCATCAGTACTTCCTAGAAAACCTGTTAGAAATGCAAATTCTCCAGCCTAACTCAAACCAACTCTGGAGAACTCCAAAGGATTCCCCCATTTTCTGGTACTTGTGGCTTTATGTTATCTTCCACCCCTTGTTGAATGACTTGCTTCTAAACCCAACAGAATACCTCAACACTGAGTGTACTTCACTTCCTTGATTAGATTACAGGAGATTGTAACATTTTCTGTCCTGCCCTAGACTGGCTCTATTACCTTCAGCTTACATGGTTGGATGAAGCAAGGAGCCATGTTGGAGAAACCAATGCAGCAAAAAACTACAAATGGCCATTGGCCAATAGACAGGAACTGTGGCCCTCAGTACAACTACCCTCAAGGAACTGAATTCTGTCAACAACCACATGAGCTTGAAAGTGGGTCCTTCACTAGTGCAACCTTATCATGAGACCCCCAATCCTGGACAATGTCACTGACTACAGCTTATTAAAGACTCAGTCAGAGAACCTGGCTAAACGGTGTTCAAATCCTGACTTGCAGAAACTATGAGGTAGTACATGTTTGTTTTAAGTGATTAAGTTTGTGATAATTTGTTATGCAGCAACAGACAAAAAACACACCTGCTGAACCTAACTCTCTGAGGGTAGTGCCCAGCAATCTGTTTTAATAAGGTTTTCAATTGATTTTGATATAAGCTAAGGTTTGAGAAACACTGCATTAAACCATGAAATCTTTCTTACTGTGTTCTAAATGCTAGCAACCATGCATATAATTTTAGGATAAGAGATAAAAACAGTAGAGGATTATTCTCTAAAAAATGGATTCTTGGGTTATGAATCACAGGAAAGACTGACAAACTTACAGCTATCTTCCACTGACACCCAGACAAAAATACACTCCTTTTTACAGAGATTTGCATGCACAAATTCTCTGTTGGAAGAAGATACACACACACACATACACACAGGGGAAGAGAGGAGAGAGAGAGAGTCAGAGACAGAGATAGAAAGAGTACATATATGAATGTGTACACATACACATACGTATGTATGTAGATGCAGTACTGGGGCTTGAACTCAGGGCCTTACATTTGCAGGTCATCTCCAATAGTCCCACTATTGGAAATGTGTTCTGTATATATATATATATGATAATGCTTTTATTTGTATTTATCTTCCACATATGAGAGAAAACATGTGACCTTTGTCTTTCTGAACCTGGCTTGCTTCACTTAACATGATATTCTCCAGTTTCATCCATTTACTTGAGAACAACAAATTTTCATTCTTCTTTATGGCTGAATAATATTCTATCATATGTATATATACCATAATTTATTAATCCATTCATCAGTTGTAGGGTATATGGGCTGTTTCCATCTCTTGACTATTGTAAATAATCCCAGCTTGTTTTTTGAGATAGGGTCTTGTTAACTATTTTGCTTGGGCTGACCTGAGCTGCGATCATCCTATCTCTGCTTCTTCCATGGCTAGACAATAGCATAGCATAGATCATGCCTGCCCTGAGAATATATTTTTAAAGTGTAAAATATGTAAGGCAGTAGGCCTGCATTTGAAAGTCTGAATTGAAAAAATCTCTCAAAATAATTCTTACTGCAAATGGTACAAATCTATTACCTTGTTCTTGGTATGTTTATAGCAAAGGTAGTCATATGGTAAAAATTTTGGAACAAAGACTACTGAATGTCACTGTCATCATAAATCCCTACAGTATTAACTGAAAATTTGTAACAGATGTGGCACAAATTCAAAAGAAAAGAATTAGTACTCATAACAAACTCCACATAAAGCCTACTATAGTTTGCGATGAGATATTACTAAGTATTAAAAAATACTTAGACTTCTGTTCCTTTGTATATGACCCATTTTTTTTAACTCTGCAAAGTTTTCAGACCTTCTTTTCATCCCTGTTCTGATGTTTCAGCAAGGTGCCCTGTTTATTGTTCTGGATACTGATGGAAATTTCAACATGGAAACCTCTGTCCTTCATTTCTTCTATTATTTCTTTAACAATTTCTTTTGGTCACTGTTCCCCTTATATTTCCCAGTTTTCTAATCTTTTCTCTCCTATTTTCTAGCCTTTCCTTTTTCTCTGATTTTTTTCTTTTTGTTGTTTGTAGATGTGTACTTTTATACTATCTAACCCTATGACACAAGTACTCATTTAAAAATATCAATTATGCTTTTAACATCTAATGCTCTGCTTTATTCTGATTGTCCCTTCTTTTCTCTACCTCTGAAAAAAGTGTTTTAGATATTTCCTGATTCTTGCATTTTGCTGTTGTTGTTTGTTTCTTCTGGGTTTCTTTGGTCTATTTAGTTTTCTTGGATGTCTCTTTCATGTTAGGGTTTTCTGCAAATACCTATTTATCTGACTATCTGTTTTTATTTAAATGAGAGAAACTAAAATGCAAGATTGTAGGACCTGAAATGCTGTTTGAATTCACTGCTTGGGTGATCAGGAGATTAAATTAGCTTTTGTGTTATGGAATCCCCAGATGTCCATATCTAGAATTTCTACCTCTAGAGTAGTTCAATTCTCAGCTCAGGTGTAATGAAATGACACCTGAAATGACAGACATTTAGACAGCACTTATGATTAAGTGCTATTAGGGACTGTATCAGTTCCTGCAGCAGCTGAAACAAATTACCTTCTCTGGTGACTCATAACAACAGAAATGTATTCTGTCACAATTAGGAGACCTGAAGCCCAAAATCAAGGGATCAGCAGGGCCGCATATCTTCTGAAAGCTCTAGGGTAGAATTTTTGGCCTTTTCTGGCTTCTGATGGCTGCTGGCATGCCTCTACTTTCTTAGCTTGTGGCTGTATCATTCTTTTGCCTCTATCCTCTATGTGTCTCAAGCCTCCCTTTGTCTTATAAAGACACTTGTCATTAGATTTAAGACCCATCCGGATAATCCAGGATGATCTCCTCATCTCCAGGTCCTTAATTTGATTACATATGCAACTATTATTTTTCCAAGGAGGTAATATTCAAACTTTTAATATATAAGATGATATTTACAAGTTCTAGGGATTAGAAAATGGACATGTTTGGGAGGGAGCATCATTCAAGTCACTATAGAAAGTATGTATAAGAGAGCTCCATTTTATAAAAGGGGGGAAATAAGGGAAGATTCACAGAGAATGCCTTATCCAGCATCCTTCCTACCTCTGTCTATCAACAGACAGGAGATAAATCAACTTTCTAGTGCTAAAGTTAACTAAAATAGTCCAGACTATTGTTCATCAGAGAACTAGCTCTAAGAACCATTACAGGAGAGTCAAGATTATCCATACTGCCAAATACACATAGTTCACTCATGTGACAAAAAGAAACTAGTAGCCATGCTTCTTTAATATTTCTTGTATTAAAAGGGCTAATTGGAGGTATCTAAGAAATCTGAGATAGTTCCCTCCTGCTGTTCTCAGTGAATATATGTGTGTACACACACACACACACACACACACACACACACACACACACACACACACACACAGAGGGGTGGGTGGTATTATGGGCTGAATTTAGAGCCTTGCTCTTGCTAAGCAAGTGCTCTACCTTTTGAGCTATGCTTCCAGTCCATCCACTGAATATTTCTGATGTCTCTGCAGTTTTCCTCCTCTAACACAACAAACAGAAGTCATAAGTCAGAAATAGACAAGAACATATCTGAAAACTAATGGATTCTCAAGTGGTGCCTTAGCAACAAATATAGCTGAAGTAATTTTATAACTTAGTGAATGACTAAAAACAGACAATTTAACTGCAGGTTTAGAAATTCTCTGAAGTAGAGTGGCTTTTATCTTAGCAATTATTCAAACCTTGGTTGCAGGTAGATTTTGGGACACTTTGTCTTTTTCTGAAATTCTGACCCTTTCTGTGTTTGGGGGTATTAGGAGGCATGTGAATTTCCATTTTTTCTTTTTCTTCCTCACAGTTTCTTATAGTGCTTTCATCTCTACTGATATTATTAGTTAATTCCTCATCTGAAACACAGATATTATCAAATGTCAGTGTTGCAGTTCTCCTTACTGGTTAAATAAATTCATACTTTTTAAGACTCTGTTTCAAGTGAACTGTTTAAGAAAAAGGAAGCCTTTAAAAATGTTTTTATATAACAAAGTTTTTTTTGGTTGCAATTCTTATGGGAATACAATGAATAGGTGAAATCAGTTGTGCTATTTCCTGCTATGGAAATGGTGCTAGGTTTCAAGATACTGAGTAAGTACTATATTAAAAAGAAACAAAAGAACTGATAAACATAGTATTTATTAGTTTCTGTTAATACCAGTTTAGCAGCCATCTTTGATGACAGCACTCTGACTTTCAAAGTAAACATAATTACTTTACTAGGCATAGCAGCATCCCAAATCACAACCCACAGGGCTTCACTCCTGTCAGTCTGACCTTAGGTTAAGTGAAATTTAGTTAGAAATTTCTATAAAATAAATAAATCTACAGAAAATGTGTACAAACTGAGAAACACTACTAATACCTGATTTGTGAGAAATCTCCTCTTCTTTTTGATTAAGTTGTGAAATGTTGGTCAAATCTTTACTTGTATTGTCAATGGAAGGAAAACCTGTATTATGCATGGGCTCGCTCTCTGGAAGGTCTTGTCTCCTTTTTTCAGCTTCAGTTATTTCTATTACCTCAGAATGAACAATTGTGGGGAAAGGTCTATTTGAAGAACTTATTTTTTGACCTTGAATGTAATTTCTTTCAGTATCTTGTTTCTTTTCTATATTATGTCTATCTGTTTGATTCACTGAAGAAGTTGGTTCTCTGGGGCTATTATCCTGGGACTTTTTTAAGAGCTCCTTGTGACTAGTCAACTTTGAAACTTCATGTGTTGAAGGCATTCTTGTACAAGCCAGGGAAGTCTGCTCACTATTACCACGTGAATGATCAAAAGCAGTTCCATATGTGCATGGACCATAATTTGCAACATGTTGTTTAGAAATGACTGTATTATCTAAATTACAAAAATTAACAGCTTCCTGTTGTGGAAGCATGGTTAGGCTTTGTGCTTTTAATTCATTTTCCTGTGAAATATGGTCTTCAGAAGATAAAGACTGTTGAAAATCCACTTCTTCTCTATTTGTTATATTCTCTGTATGATTATAGTGGCTTTTGTGTTCTGTAGAACATACCATTTTTTTAGATGTTACAACCTTCTCAAACATACAGCAATCATCATCATCATAATCAAACTGTCCCTTTCCCTTTATAAATGATAGGAAAGTATTTTCCCATTTATTAAGGCACTTATTTCTTTTATTTGAGTTACTATTTTCCTGAAATTTATAAGAGCTACTACTGTGTGGTTCCTGATGAGTGTGAGGCGGCTGTTCTCTAGTAAGAGGTGGTAAACTGATTTCTTTATGTAATGGAAGTCCTGAGACAATAGCTTCAATTCTTTCTTTATGTAATGAAAGTTCTGAAAAAACAGCTTCAGTTTTGTCAATAGATGCTAATTCCAAGAATTTCATTTCTTGACTATCTGATAAGTCTAGGGTGTGGGTATGTGTCTCTTTGGAAACTGAACAGGCCTCAATGTTGTTACCTAATCCATCTTTCAGGCTTGACAACGTTAGGCTGGAAAGCTCACACAACTCTTCTGGAAGGTCACCAAGGGTTTGGAGAACATGCTGCTGATGAGTAACCAAGTTGTCTGCTTGGGTTCCTTTATGCTGTATGTTTCTTTTTCCTTTTTTTTTAGACACATTTGTGCTGGCATCTTTGATATTGGTTTCTGAGTCTCGGAGACTGAGCTTTCTGAGCCTTGGAGAGTGTATCTGGACAGTTGATTTTTTATTCTTGGATCTGCCAAATTTTCTGGTTGTGGTATTTTTTTGGTAATGTTCATATATCTCTTCTTTATTGATAAGTAAACCTTCTTTGCTTCCTTTATTGACTTCTACTTGTTCTGGCTTCTGTATGTTGGAATTTTTTGAACTAAATTTTGGTTTCTATAAAAATAAAATATATAGTTAACTTCAATTTTTTTGCAGTACTGGGATTTGAACTCAGAGCCTACACCTTAGCCACTCCACCAGCCCTTTTCTGTGATGAGTTTTTTGAGATAGGGTCTAACAAACTATTTTGCCTGGGCTGGCTTCAAACTGTGACCCTCCTGATCTCTGCCTCCTGAGTAGCTAGGATTACAGGCATGAGCCACTGGCACCCACTTAGCTTTAATTTTTAACTACGGGTCTATACTAAGTTTATTCTGGATTTTTGATAAATCAAACTGTTATTCCACTTAATTTTATCATTTGGGTCTAACCACAAGTTCTGCAGAATATATCCAACCTGATATTTCAGAAAAGTAGACTAAATACAAGAAAGGCAAATGTAATGGACTTAGATTCAGTATGCATACAAATCTTTATTTTCTACTGTACATTTTAATTTTTGCTAGCATCTTAGCACTATTAATCTTATAAAATATGGCAAAACATTTAATTTATTTAATTTTACAGGCTTTGAAACTAATCAAATCAAAGTTTCCTATATAAGGAAGCTTTATAAGAATGCTTTAGAAAATTCTCTTCTCCCAAGTATTATATAGTTAGAGATAGAATTAGAAAAGAACTATAGGTAGGGCAGTGGAAGAAGGGATTTAAAAACTAAACGACAGATAAATTCCTAAATTAGTTTTGTATGGAGAGTTTATTGTGGGCTGCTATAATTAAAACAGGAACACTGCTTCCTCTCACTTACCCCAAGTCAAGTAACAGATGAAAAGTAACACCCACCATGTAAAGTTTGAAGGGATGGACTGACACCTTTGACTTTTATTCTGTGCTTAGACCAGAAGAAATTCAGTACGGTTGATAAACCACAGACTCCATGAAGAAGAAGAGAAAGGAAATGGCTAGCAATACATTATTGTGCCCAGATATGACACAGTTACTCAATTGCTTCTCAGACTAATAGCCTAGAACCCTTTGATTCTTATGTAATTATTCCCAAGTGTCTTAAAACCAAAGATGAAGTTGCTGTTCCTGACTAATGCTCCAGCAGTCTTTCTTTTTCCTCTAGTATCTATAAAGTAGCAGCAGTTGCATCCCTATAGAAATGTTTATTACTAAACATGGATATACCTTGTTCTGGTGTACATCCTCTACATCTACTGAGTCAGTGCTATTTCTTCGATCTGTAAACAAAAATAGAAAGTAAAACAAAACAGCTTCAGTGGTCAGACTCTAGACTTCTAAAACCTTTGTCATGCAAAAACCAAACAGAGTAAGTTAAATTATATAAACATTTTATATTAAAATTGCACATACAATATACCTATTATTTATAATTTCCGTATTTATTAGAAAATAAACACTATCTTAAGAGATAATTACATTTCCATAGGAAAAGCAAAATAGAGCCAAAAAATAAGTAATACTAAAGATGGCACTAAAGTCAGTATTCTAACTTTCCTGACAAATATATCCAGATATACCCTCTTCATTTAATAGAATTACAAAAGTTACTTTTTTTTTTTTTTGAGGTACTGGGGTTTGAACTCAGGGTCTCACACTTGCTAGGTAGGCACTCTATCCACGTGAGTCATTCTGCCAGCACCCCCCCCCCTTTTTTGTGTGTTGGGTATTTCTGAGATAGTGACTTGCAAACTATTTGCCTGGGTTAACTTTGAGCTATGGGCCTCCTAATCTCTGTCTCCCATGGCATGAGCCACTGGCACCCAGCTAGAAGCTACTTTCATAAGGCAAAAAAAAAAAAAAAAAAGAAATCCTTTCATAATTAATTAGCTTATCATTTCCTAATATGTCTGCTTAATAAGGTCCTAGTTTGATGCTTCATGCTTTACAAAGCAAACATATGTGCATGTAAAAGGACAATGATACTGTGTTTCCATAGGGGAAAAAAGATGGCTTGGAGAAAAAAAGCCTAGGTTAATAATAACAGGAATGTACTTTACATATCTTTCTATGCCTCCTTTAAATACCGAAGGGAAAACTGTAATTGCCTATATAAGCATTTAGCCACAAAAGATAAAAACCTAGAAATAATGCCTTGCACATAGAAAGTGTTCAATGAATATCTGATAGGGGAAAAATAAATGAACACTTTAGATGTAATACTTAAAAAACACAAATTTCCTTCAATGTTCAGGGAAATAGTTCAAAATGTGAAATATTTTAACAAGGATGCAAGTGGAAAAGAAAGTTTAATTTATTTCTTGGTAATAATTTTCATGACAGCAATCAAATTGTGGTTTACATAATGAAGCCTATATTACCCACTCACCTCATTCAGGTGAGAAATGGCATATAAAATGTCCTTCTAAATCTAAAAAGGAGGTAGAAACACATTCTCTAGAACTTCATTCCTGGGTTACAACAGTGACTCATCTGCTTCCCAGCTGGGTGACCTTGGGCAAGTTTATTAATATCTATGCCTCTATAAAATGTCCATAAGTGAAAACTAGTAATAGTCCCTGCTCTACAGAACTTAAAGATAAAATGATAGGATCCACGTACAGATGTCATAGGAGTTTCTGGCACAGGGAAGCTATCCATTATTACTACTATGTTGTTAATATTTTCTAAGAGAATGAAAGACACTGTGCCTTCTCCAAACATAAATTTAAAAAAAACAGAAAAATATTATTTTTCAGGAACTACTCTGTCAAGCACATATCCCAAGAGAATCCATAAGGAAGAAAGGTTTTATTTTCTCTCAGTTTTAAGACTACATTCTCTAGTATAACCAACTGACTACACAGACATAAATTCTGAGGTGGTAAATTTTGGTGAAGTAGCTGTGTTCTTTCCCCTCAGTCACTTTGAGCTCTGATCATATGCCAAGTACTGTGTTTTACATACATTACCTCCAATCCTCACATTAACAACCCCATAGGTATACAGGTAGATGAGCAGATACTAAAACCCCAAATTTGAAGATGAGAAAACTGGGAGTGTTAATCTACTCAATGCTATAAAATCTTTATCCAACACCAAAATAAACACATTTTGCTCTAACACAGAAAAGCAGCAAATATATTTTATATGAAGAAAGTTCTTTATTCATTATTCTTATAATTAAAAGCTCTTTAGACCTGGGGATATAGCTCAGGGGTGGACTGCTTGCCTAGCATGTGCAAGCTCCTGAGTTTTATTCCCAATACCACAAAAAGAAAAAAAATTCTTTGACCTGAATTTAAAAGTGCATACTCTGTGTAAGCATACAGAGGTTCTTTAAGTAAATAAATTTCACATGTATATGGAAAGGTAGAATGAAAATTTAATGATAGAATTTAAGAAATATTTAAACCAATGGTAAAGCAAGATAATGCAACCCAGCTCAGTAAGTTCCCTTACAAAGGAAGAATGAGAGCTGAGTCCAAAGAAGAAAAGCTAGGTATTCCTTTCTATTAAGGAAATTCCCTTGTGTAGTACAGAAGTAAGCATTAATGAACAGGGGTTTCTGTATTTGAAGAAAGGGTCAGAAGTGCAAAATAATGCATGCCATCATAAAATATAGAAGTCAAGCTATAAAGCATATCATCAAAGCAAAGAATTATAAATTTATAAAATTTTGCCTCCAACTGGATATTTTACTTGCAATTGTTCATATACCTTGAAATGTAAATATGATTGTTTTAATAATCTATTTAATGTGATTTTTATAGGCCTGGCCTCAGAAAGCTACTGTTTCTCTCTTGTCTTCTGGTATGATTTAGCTTCTAGAGAGGAAGTCTTCTGCTCTAAAGAAATATTAATTAATTGCCTCTCAGTGAAAGCTGGGTACCATGGCATGCACCTATAGCCCCAATTACTCAGGAGGCTAAAGTAGGAGCACAGTTTGAGCCCAGGAGTTTGAGAAAAGCCTGAAAGCATAACAAGACCCCCATCTCAAAAACAAACAAACAAAAACTTCAGTGAAGTTCTCTATTATAAAGTTAGGGTATTTTGATCTAGTTCTTAATCCTTAGTCAACAGCATTCAAACAATTACATTTCTTGAGCAAGTAAATTATTAATACAAATAAATGGCTATAAAATAATAAAATGGATCATTCATCATAAAGGCAAACCAGTCTTGTGACCAATAGTCAGATTGCTATGTTACCCCTAATTTTTAGTAGCAGACACATCCAACAATAATTGGAAGAACTGTTTTATATTAAATATAAACCAGCTTGGAAAGGGCATGTTTTAAATTTTATTTAAAACCACTTAAGAGAAAAAGATGCTTAGATCAGGAAAAGATCTTTCACAATAGTTACTGAAGGGCTTGTGATTACAGTCACTAACCATGATATATATATATAACATCTATCATGCTATTCTCTTGGACTTGAAGAAACCTACATTATGTCTTTTTTATGTATTTCATAGGACCTAATCATTTCTTTATCATACTCTTAATGTAATAGTTTGTAATCCCTGTTTCTGATTCATTTTGTATGATCAGGCTCTACCACTGTATAGTGTTTGACACATAGCAATCCTTGAATGAGTCAGTGAATTGCCACAGAAAATAGATAAATTCCAATACTGGTGGTTTAGTGGGCATTGTTTTGCCTGGTCAGCACTCATCTTGATAGGTAGCTCTCTGAAGAGAGTCTATTGGTTCTTGCTGCCTAGATCTCTGTAGCTGCTTTTACTGCTGACCTTTTCAAGGCCTGGATCTTCAGCTTTTCATTGGTGGGAGCTGCCCTGCCAAAACTCCCTTTTCTATCTTGAAAAATTGGTTACCACCAAAGAATTCTTACAATAGAAACTTACAGTTGTATCAAAGAACTGATCCAAAAAGCATAGCTGTATTATTTGTTACAGGAAGACAAAGAACTTTAGTCAAGGATGGATTTCCACTGCCAACTTAAGTTTGGCTCTGACTGGAGGAAACTATAGGACTTGTATACCTTATGTCTATAAGGATTCTCAGACTGAACTTCCCTGTGCACAAAGGAGAAAGAAATTCAAGGGTAGATGCCTCTGTTGTTAAAGATAATAATACTCAAAAGCATTGGGGGAAATTCTCTTGGGAAATTTTAATAAAATACAGTTTAAGAAAGATGAATCAGCATACACACATCTCTTGAATAGAAAAATTTTGTTTCAGAGGACCAATATGCTCTTTGCTCAAAAAATATCTGCAGAATGGCTACCATGTACACAGAGCTTTAGTATTCATCAGGAGACAAAACATATTGGTTTCAGAGGACCAATATGCTCTTTGCTCAAAAAATATCTGTAGAACGGCTACCATGTACACAGAGCTTTGGTATTCATCAGGAGACAAAACAAAGATATTTTCTTTCATTGAGCTTAAATTCTTTATGGGGAAGACAGAAAATAAAAAATAAGTCAATTGCCTAACATGTCAATAGATTTAATGTTCTGGGAAAAGGCTAAACAGAGCAGTATAAGAGGGACTGGAATGAGTATAGCGGTTCCAAAAGTATGTCCATAAATTTATGACCACTTTCTTCAAGAAGTGGGGCTTAATTTTTCTCTCCTTAAGTGGGGTCTAGACTTTGTGACTCACTTGTAACAAACAGAATATACCAATGATGGCATATCACTTCCAAGATTAAAGGTTAAAGACTGGATTTTGTCTTGGGTACCTTTTCTCTCTCTCCCTCCCTCCCCCTTTTTCTCTCCCTTCCTCTCTTCCTAGCTTGCTCTGAGCTGGATTACAGGTAGTTAGCAGTCCTATGGAGAAGTTCATGTGGCAAGGAACAGAGGCCTGCCCAACAAAGGTATGAGTGATCTTGAGAGTGAATTTTCCTACCCTGGTCTAGTCTTGAGATGGTTGCAACCTGTGAGACCTTGATCCAGAACCACTCAGCTAAACTGTTCCTAGATTTCTGCACCTCAGAAACTGTATAAGCTAATATATGCTTGTGATTTTAAATGACTAAATATTAGGGTAGTTGTTGCACAGCAATAAATAAATAATATAGTTAGGGCAGGAAGGGAACAGCAGTATTAAACAGAGTAATCTAGGCCTCATTGAAAAGGTGACATTTGAACTAAGATTTAAAGGAGTGAGGAGGCACATCTGAGGAATGGGAAGGAGGCCAGTGTGACTGGAGTTGAGAAGTGAAAGCAGAAAGAGGTAAGAGAATGAGGTTAACTAGTAGGGTAGCCAGCTGATATAAGAACTTGGAGACTATTGCAAGGATACTAGCATTTTTTCTAGATTAAAAGAACTACTGTAGTATTTTGAGCAGAGGAATGTTATGATGTTATCAAAAAAATCTAACAGATGCATTAAAAAGAATATAAAGAATATGACATGTATTTAAGTTATTTTTAAGTAATATTTATTGATAACCACAGATCAAATTCTTTTATAGTTCAATTGAACAGTATAATGGATGGAAAGGCAAAGTATAGCCATAAGAAAAGCCTCTTAGGGAATGGATATAAACAATTCTGGCCACATTCATTGATATGGATAAAACCAAATGTAATTTGTATCACATCATACAAAGAAACTGTTGGAAAAAGAACAGAAATTGATAAAAGATTTCTTAACTGTCTGCAATGCATAACCTAGGGAAAAAAGAATAATCTTTCTTTTTTCTTTTAGAGTCCTTCCCTTATGTATATTTGCAAACAGGTTAGTGTGCTTTATTAAAAGAATGAAAGAAAGACACTGCTGAATATATTTTCTTAAACCTTATGAGGATCTGGGCATAGTTGCACATGCCTGCAACTTGGGCGGCTAAGGCAGGAGGATTAGAAAGTTGGATTACATAGTGAGTTCAAGACCAGTCTAGGTTATATAGACTCTGACTCAAAAACCAAAAAAAGTTACAAGAAAAATAAATTTAATTTCTGTAATCTTCAATTTCTATAACTTTCTGTCAACATGATCAATAGCAGTAACAGGGCAGTTCAATCTTACCTGATGTAAGACATCTTTGAAATTTAGGAACATATTTCTCAAGGAGACGCTTCATACGTAAATCTTTGGCCTCATCCAAAGCACACTGTCCATTGTCACTTCTAAATAATGGATCAGCTCCATTCAAAAGAAGTAACTCTGCCACCTAGAGAAAAATTGTTGGTGTAAGGAAGGAATTAGGATTGGGTTCTGTAGTAGCAATGTAATCTTGACAAGTCCCTGTAGGTAGTTTGACTCAGAAAAACAGGAGGATCATCTAAAGGTTCTATTTCTGGCTTAAGATTCTAATTTTTAAAATTTTAACATAGGATGAAAAGCCAAACCCAATATACTTGAGGTCTTTCTTTTGAGGCCTCTGCCTTCTCTGTACAGAATCCTCAACTGTAACCTCTACTATGTGACTGCAATAATCCTAAACCCCTGGAAATCTCAGCTCAAGTTTGACATTCTCTCTGTATCATCTCAATGAAGTCCATGGCCAAAATATGGAATCCTGACAAGGTTGTAAATATTGCTTAGTTAACAGAATAGTCCGGCAAAAAGGAGAGTGGAACAGAGGATGCTTTACTACTGTCTCACTTAGTAGACTTCTTTGATTCTGAGAAACATTATCAATGGGGTTGGTTTCAATTTAACATTTTCCTTCAAGGGAACTTCCCAAACTATGGTGCTTTGTGGGAGAGTCAATGAAAGTTATTTTAAGTAGCAGACTCCAAATGGTGACACTCAGTCATTGCTTGCAACAGCAAAAGAGGAAGAACATGTCTAATTGACCCATTAGTAAGTAGATAGTCTCATCACACCCTCCTACACAGCCTTGTTATCTCCTTATAAGAGCTTCCCAAGGAGTCCTGACATAAGACTTTGATAGTCATTGTACTGTTTTCAGTCAAAATCTGGGGAAAGAAACAAAAAAGGGATCTTACAAAATTGTTTCCAGTGCAGTTATTGAAAATAATCCTAACCCAGTAGGGCTAAAAATAACTGAAATTGAGACAAGATCAAGGTATCATAATCTTGTGCAATAGCAACTACACTGAGAAAAATGCTGGATAGCAAACCAACAGAGACAGTTTGTCTCAAAAAGTTTTTCCTTAGAAAAATTCCTCAAGGCATCCTGTTTTGTGTTAGCTAAATGTTTGTTTAGTTCAGCTTTGTTATATGTTCTTGGATTTCTAACTTACCTTTACCTAAAAGGCAGCATAAATGAATGATCCAGTAAGGGCTTCAAGCAGATTGTGATTATATATTATTGTACCTGACTATATTTTAAATAATGACAATATAAAAATATAAATATTGGAAGTCTTGTTTAAAATATTTTGCGAAAGAAAAAGACAGAAGAGGGCCAGGTGTATAGGTCATGCCTATAATCCCAGCTATGCAGGAGGCAGAGGTAGGAGGATCATGGTCAGAGGCTACCTAGGCAAAAATAAAAGACCTTATCTGAAAAATAGCTATAGCAAAAAGGGCTGGAGGTATGGCTCAAGGCGTAGAGCCATTGCCTAGCAAGCACAAGGTCATGAGTTCAAATTCCTGTGCTGCCAGAAGGAGGAGAAGAAGAAAGAAGGGAAGAAAAGAGATTGCTAAGTATTTAGTTGAAGTAACTGGGATTTTTAAAGTTGCCATCATAGTTCTAACCTTCGGCTAGTAACTGGCTACTAAAAAATATCTAGTTTATTTCTTTGAAAGAATCTGAATATAAAACACCAGTGATCCCAATGTTTTCTCAGAACTAAATATAATGTTCCTTGAATTCAGGTCAAAGTATATTTCTTTAGAAATAAATATCTACTGTGTGCCAATTAAAAACAAAAGTCATGTTGCTAGCATGCATCCTGGATAAGATGTGAGAACATGACACTGTTTCTCTCTAGTCTTTCTCTCCTAAACCTACAACCAATCTAATCATGAGACCCAAAGTAGGTTTTTTCAGGAAACAATGAAGGTGGGAATAGAGGGGTGTCAATGGGAAGTGCCAGCTGCTGGGTATGGGTTTTCTTTGGGGGATAATAAAAATGTCCTGAAACAGATTATGGCAATGGTTATTCAATTCTATGAATATACCAAAAACAACTGAATTGTATACTTCATTTGAGTGACTTCTGTGGTATGTGAATTATTAACAAATATGTTTTAAAATTAATTCTAATAGTTTTTTCTCCATACCTAATATTTTTCCAAGTTTTTACTTTAAAAATGTTCAAACATACAAAAAGCTGAAAGGACAATACAATGAGTACCTATATATCCTTCACCTGGATTCAATAATTAACATTTGTTTTTCTCCATTCATCAATATGCAATCTTACTGGAAAAGATGAACATGTTTAGGAGAGAAAAACACCATACCACACACAAAGATAATATGAGCCAAATCCTTTGAAAATTACTAAACAGAAAATGCATAATTATGTGAAAGAAAGTTACAAATACAATGACATCTCACCTCTAAATATTTAAGTGTGCACCTCCTAAGAACATATTCTTATGCAACCACAGTAACATTACCATAGCTTATACCATTAACTAATGTCATCCAATATCTAGTCCATATTTACATTTTCAAAACCGTCCCAAAACATTATGTTACAGCTATTAGAAGGAAGTCCCGATCCAATCATTGCTCATATATTGTTTTCCCATTAAGTAGTCACTTTTTGTAGAGTCTAGGCCAAGCTTTCTCATAGACTGTAGGATATGTTCTAGATATGCCAATCATTTCTTTCCAGGAATATTTAAATTAATCCATTTTTTTGTATTTCCATAAACTGGTTGGAGTAGCTTGGTAGATATAATCTATACCTAATATTTGACATGTTTCTCACTTTTGTCTTTTGCCTTGAAGGAAAATCAGTGAGCCCCGTATCTTGATTTGTGAAGAGATAAGGGTACACAGTATCAGTTCAGAGTAAAAAGAGAAGTTTCTGCCTGTTCAGACTATGCAAAGATAATATTTATATTATTTGAAATAATGGCATCATCAGATGCACATGCATGCTACCTGTGATGAAAATGAAGGTTTTTAAGTTTTTATGAGGGAAAAACACAAACATTCCTCTTGCAAATCAGTGTGATTTACTAAAGATCTAGCACTGGAAACTTTGGCTAACTCTGAGCTCTTCCAATTTTTATTTATTCACTCCTTACTACTGTCATCACCTCAGGTCTCTATCGTCAAATGCTCTAAATAATGAAAGTGGTGTAAAAAATTCTAAGTCTGAAAGTACAAGACTTGAGTTATAACAGAGGACTCAATCCAACTGGAAAAGATGCAATGTGTCTAGGAGAGAAAAACGTTATACCATACAGAGATAACATGAACAAAATCCTTTAAAAAATTACTGAGATTCAGCAATGTGACAATTCAGTTTTGTAAGCTACTTTACAATGGGAAATTTGATGTTAGATAGAGAAACAAAGCAATATTAGATACAATTAAATCTGTATTTCATATATAAGCTATGCACAGGAAGAAGATAAAGAATTTATGCCTAGATCTTCACATTTTGTTCAGCAAATAAAATACAGAACATAACGCTTTCTTTCAAGAAAAGCACTTTTATAGGGAAGTCAAAAGAGCTATGCTGTTTAATTCTTGAGGTTTTGTGTCAAATAAAACGTGAGCTTAGACATGAAGAAGCATAAGAACAATGAATGGAGGAAGGGGAAAGGCAGAGGCTAGAGCCTTATTCTTCTGGAAATCTGGGCTGGTGGTCCCAAGGGACTGAGTGAATTACTTTGGTAGACTCTGTTTTAAAAAGCAGATAGTCTGCTTCAACAAATGGCCATGTGTTACCAATTCCATTTGGGGGTCAAATCCAGGGCCTTACGCAAGCTAGGAAAGTGCTCTACCACTGAGCTACACCCCCAAACCTCTGATACTTGGATTTCTGAAACCTGTTTATATGCTCTCTAACATTAAAAGATTCTCTTCTCATCAAAGGATAGTAAATAAATTACTTTCATTGATTTTTTTACCCTACTTTAAATCCTACATCTAGGTTCTGTATTAGATAACTATTGCTTATCTAGCAAATACCCTAAAACTTAGTGACTTTAAATAATAATAACCATGTATAATCTCATAGTTTCTGTGAGTCAGGAATTTAAGAGTGGCCCTGTCTTGAAATCTTAAGGTCTTAAGGTCTCTGTCTTAAGGTCTCTCATGAGGCTGTAGTCAGGATGTTGTCTAAGGAACACTATCATGGAAAAGCTTTGCTAAGGCTGGAGGACATTTTTCTAAAATGGCCCACTACCATGGCCAAGCCATAAGCCATGACCATTGCCATCTCTTCAGAAAACTGCCTAAATGTCAGCATAATATGACATCTCACTTTCCCTGGGATTAATGAACCAAAAGAGAAACAAAGAAGGAAGCTATAACATATTTTAACCTAGCCTTAGAAGTCACATGCTATCATTTCTACCATATCCTACTTGTTAGAAACAAGTCACTAAAACCCCATTCTACACTCCCTCCACTTTTTGAAGAAGGAATATTAAAAAATTTGTGGACATATTTTAAAGCTTGCCTGTAGATTTTCACCTTCAATCATACTGTTGAATTAAGTACTTTATTTATTTTGGTGGGTCTGGGATTTGAATTCAGGCCTCCACACTTGCCACACACCACCTCCCCAGTCCATTTTGCTCTGGTTATTTTGGACATGGGGTCTTGTGAACTATTTGTCCAGGCTGGCCTCAAACCATGACCCTCCCAATCTCAGCTTCTGAAGTAGCTGGGATTACAGGTGTGAGCTACCAGCACCCAGCTTTTCTTACTTTAGAATTAGCTGATTTCCTTATATAAGAAGCTACTAGGACATAAAATTCTTTCAAGTTTTTGGCAAGCTTGTATTTTGACTATTCATTCCTAAAAAATAATTTAAAAAAGCCTACCCAAAAAAACTCATTAGTAGTTTCACTGTTGACAATAATACCTGCACAGCTAGTAGTAATATTGTAAGTATATTGTACAATAAAGAAATAATTGATGTGTTAAGAAACAAATGTTTAGCATAAGAAAAAAAGTGATTCAAATTAAGAACTTAATTATAAATGCATGAAACAGAAGTATCAATATGTACTCATGATTTTATTTTTCTTTCTAAAACTGTATTTCACTGAAAATGCCTAAAAGCAATGATGTCATTAGTAATGACCATAACAAGCACCCACAATGTAGTCTCTAAGTAGATTTTCCAGTAAAATATAGCCATTTACAGAAAATATGAGATAAAACAAGCTAATCAACATCACAAAGATGAAACTGGCAAAATCCAGAATTTTAGAAATTTTGTAGGACAAACAACTCATTTTCTTCAATAAATACCCCCACAAATTCCTATATAAAACACACTGAGGACTGTTGCACATTTAAGCACACTTAGAGACATATAATGAACACATATAATATATAGGCCTTGAATGAGCCTAATTCAAACAAAAATATAAAATACTGGGAATTATGAATATAAACTGAGACTTTATCTCAAACTCCCCACCCAAAACGAAAAGAAAAAAAAAAAGAAAGGAAGTTGGGGAAAAAAAGAGAGAGACTATGATGTCACCCCTGCACTAGGTTTCAGCTTTTAATTCTTATAACTGTTTTCTAAGCTTCTGTTCCTATCTTATCATTTTCTTTTCCCTTACCATTCTATGGTGCCAGGAACATATGAGCCTTAGAGAGTCTGGGGATTGGCAAGAGGGAGTGAGGTAAATACAGAAACTGCATTCTGTAGCTTTGTCCTCATTTTATTAGAGGTGATCAGAATAGGCTACATATCTGCAAAAGCCCAACAGGAGACAGCTAGTGATAGCCTAAGAGGCAAAAACTGACTGAAGTAGAGTTATCAAGTGGTGAAAAGGAAAAATTAAGAGAAAAGGAAAAGTAATGTGTTCAAGTTCACATTACCCAAAGGGAAAAAGGACTCAACTAAGATAAGTCAGTTCAAGCAAGTAAAAGAGCAGATGGGCCATGGGGAGAGAAAAGAAGCACTTTTGCCTAAGATTTCTCTACTGGAAACCAGCTTGGAAAAGAAGATAAAGGACAGAGAGAATGTCCTGCTGTCACTTGTTGAAAGCTGCATTTTTCTGGCCATTACATTGGGTCTCAGATGCAATTCTTTCCCATCAATTACTAGGCAATACATTATTGAAAAAACCAAAACAGTCTAAATTCTCCAGAAATAATTTTCACACTATGGAGAAATATGCCCTACACTATGCCCCTGGCTCCCAGAAGCCTTCCTTACCTCTACCTGTATCAAGTATTTCTTCTGGAAATACATAAAACAGACCTTTCTGAGCCCAGTTGATTAAACCCCTTTCCTATCCCCACAGTTTTGAACCCAGAAGTAACTTTTTTTTTTTTTTTGGTACTAGGGGTTAAATCTGTGGCCTCATGCTTGCTAAGCAGGCACCCTACTACTTTAACCATACCTCTAGCCCTTTTTGCTTTACTTATTTTTGGTAGAGTCTTGTGTTTATGCCCATGCCAGCCTGAACCACAATCTTCCTATTTACACTTGCCACCTAGCTGGGATGACAGGTGTACACCACCATGCCCAGCTATTGGATGAGGTGGGATTCTCACTCACTTTTTGCTTGCACTGGCCTTGAACCATAATCAACCTCATCTCCATTTCCTGAGAGGCTGGGATTATAGGCATGAACCCCCATACCAGATCAGAAGTAATTTTTAATACCTAAAATCAATAGTAAGATATCTTCAGGGGCTGGAGAGTAGCTCAGTGGCAAAGTGCTTGCCTAGTATGTGCAAGGCCCTAGGTTGGAACCCAGAAACACACACAAAAAAAAAGAAAGAAGGAAGAAAAGAAAAAAAGAAGGAAGGAAAAAAAAAGGGGAGGAGGAGAAATCTTAAGATATATTTAGCAAGTGGATAAACATTGTAATGCAGTAGTGTCTGGACCAGAAAAAATATGTAGGAAGCTCAGTACATATGTGGTTTCTCAGATAAACCACATATAACTGGTTTTATAATCTTACTTAATGTTACCATTTATCACAATTACTAATAACCAAGTGGAATGGAATTATAGTATCGTGATATTTTAATCAGTGGCACAGCCATGCTGGGATATACTTACTAATGATTAACTCTGGAAGAGTCTCATGTCCTATGCTGATTTATGAAAGTAATACTAGACCCCATGAGGCTACAAGGTTCCTATCAGGGCTATAACATCATTGTGTAATGCTCTATGAAAAGAAAATATTCTTCTACAGTTTATAAAGCATCATACGAAAGGAGCATTAAAGGAGTACAAGTTGAAAAAAATCCTATATATAAAAGGAAATGTTTTGTAGTTATTAAAAATAATATGTAAAATGGCACTTACCAACTGGGAACCATGCTACATACCTGTAATCTAAACTACTCTGGAGGCTAAGGCAGAAAGATCCCTTGAGCTCAGGAGTTCGAGGCCACTTTGGGCAACATAGTAAGAAATCAACTCAAAAAATTTTTCCTAGATGAACACAGATGCAAAATTTCTCAATAAAATACTTGCAAATTAAACTCAAGAGAACATTTAAAATATCATACAGCAGAATCAAGCTGGTTGCATTTCAGGGATGCAAGGATGGTTCAACATACACAAATCAATAAATGTAATAAGGCACCATAAATAGAACCAAGGACAAAAATCACATGATCCTCTCAACAAATGCAGAAAAAGCTTTTTGACAAAAATTCAGCATTTCTTCACAGTAAAAATCCTGAAAAAAATAGGAATAGAAGGAAAATATCTCAACATAATTTAGACTATATACAAGAAACTTATACCCAACATGGTACTAAATGGAGAAAAACTGAAAGCATTTCCTCTAAAATCAGGAACAAGGCAAGGGTGTCCACTCTCTCTACTGTTATTCAATACAGTGCTTAAAATCTTAGCCAGAGCAACAAGGTCAGAATGGCTCAAAGGCCTTAATGCAAGACCTAAAAATTTGATACTTTTTACAGGGAAAACACTAGAAGATATAGTCATAGACAACTACCTCCCGACTAGAATTCCAATAGCTCAGAAAATAAGAGCAAGAATTGACAAATGGGATGACATCATATTAAAAAGTTTCCGCATAACAAATGAAATAATCACCAAAGTGAAGAGACAGCCTACAGACTGAGAGAAAAAAGAAAACACACACACACACACACACACACACACACAAATAACATGATGAGAGAATGTCTTTGCAAGCTATTCATCTAACAAGGGACTAATACCCAGAATATAAAAAGAACAGAAAAAATAATCCAATCAAGAAGTGGGAAATGAATTGAACAGATGGTTCTGAAAATAGGAAGTAAAACTGGCTCATAAGAACACGAGAAATGTTCAACATCCTTAACCATAACGGAAATGTAAAGCAATACTGCACTGAAGTTCCAACTCACCTCAATCAGAATGGCTATCAGGAAAACAAATAGCAGCAAATGCTGGCCAGGATGCAGAGTGAAAAAGGAGCCCTTACACACTGTTGCTGAGAATGTAAATTAGTGCAGCCACTATGGAAGTCAGTATGGAGTTTCCTAAAAACTACCATATGATCATAGTAATACCACTGCTGTGCAAATACCCAAAGGAATCAAAGTCAATAGACAATAGAGACACCTGCACCCCATGTTTATTGCAATACAATTCATAATACCAAAGTCATGGAATCAGCCTAGGTGCCTATCTATAGATAATGCATAAAGAATATATGATATATATATACATGGAGTATTATTCAGTCATAAAGAAGAATGAAATTATGTCATTTGCAGGAAAATAGATGGAACTGGAGATTATCATGTTAAATAAAATAAGCCAGACTTAAAAAGACAAATACTATATATTTTCTCTGCTATGGGGAATCTTGATTTTAAGAAACACATGAAAACAGAAAGAGGACTTTCGGGGTAGAGTGGGAAGAGGGAGGGTTACAAGAGAGGGTGATGGGGAAAAAAAAAGAGTAAAAGAGGCGATGAATATGAATACATTATATGCATGTATGGAAGCGTCATAATGAAAGCCCTTTGTACAATTTTAATATATGCTAATATCAAAGTGTAAAATGTCATCTTCCACATCAGGCACAACAAACTTACCACATAGTAAAATGTTATTATAAGTTGTGAATATTCATTAGCAGAATGCTCTGAAACTGAAATCCCTGTTTTCCTACTGTGTTAACAGATACTTAATATTCACAGAATACTGTATTTGCTCTACAAACAAAAGCATTAAAATACCTTATGATGTCCATTTATCACAGCATCATGTAGAGGAGTTATACGGTACATTCCTTTGGTATTTACATCAGCTCCACCTTTTAATAGTTCATTTGCTGTTTGGTAAAATCCTCCTAGACTAGCTTCATGAAGCGCTGTCCAACCTATTACATAAGAAAAAATGACATTTGCTTAGATTTGCCATCTTAGTAATGTCTTGTGCTTGCTCTTAAAAAAAAAAAAAAAGAACAACTCTAGGCCAGGGATGGTAGCTGAAGTCTATAATTTTACCTATTGAGACTGGGAGATCACTGTCCAACATCAACCAGAGCAAAAAGTTAGCAAGACCCCATCTTAATCAATAAGCTGCACATGGTGGTACATGCCTATGATCCTAGCTGTGCAAGTGGTCTAGGCAGAAGGACTGTGGTCTGAGGCTAGTCCAGGCAAAAACATGACACTCAACCTGAAAAACCTAGCAAAAATGGGCTAGGGGCATGGCTCAAATGGCAGAATGCCTGCCTACCAAGTGCTAGGTCCTGAGTTCTGTGGGAGACCAGTAACTAAAAAGACTGAGAAGAGACATGAACATGAGCATGGCCATGTCAAGGTCCTTTGTGCCAAAGGCAAGGCCGTGGCATGAAGAAAGTGACCACAGTTCAGCAAGGCTGCCTTGCAAGAGAGGAGACTGAAGCAGTGGAAATAGACCTTGACGTGAGCACAGTTATGTCAAGGGCCTCTTGGCTGATAGGCATGGACCCAGCCAAGGGGAGGCAAGGTTCAGCAAGGCTGCCTTGCAAGAAAAACAGGACAAGCTGACCTGGGCAGGATACTCTGTAGTAAATAACAATATACACAGCTGCTCTGTTCTTGCTGCCTACGCGACTTGATGCATGAGAACTCGACCTGCATTTCATTCTGCTTTCCCATACATGCTGTATAAATAAATGCTTTTGGAGGCAGAGGGAGTCACTGGCATCTCTCATCAGGAGTGTCAGACCCACCTGATCCCAACTTTCTCTGTCTGTCTTTGTGTCTTTTTCTTAATCCCCAGTCACCCCAGTCAGGTCAAGGGACCTACTCAAGTTGGCCATGAGAGAGTTCAAAACCTCAGTGCTGACATAAAAAAAACCCTCACTAATTCTAGACTTTCTTTAAAAATATTCTGATTCTATTAGACAATATACCATCACATAAAAGCACCCTATATTATTTGGTAGATTCAAAAAATCTGAGGGAAATTCAATTTCTAACTCTCAACCCTATTGTGGAACAATATGAAAAGAAATCAAATATTTTGAAGTATTCTTGACCTAAGTAAAAAAGCTGTACAGGTCAAATATCAACTTATAGAGAACAATGGATTCAAGCTACTGTTCTGCAGAGAAGAAAGGAAAAAACTTATTTCTAATTCAACTTACTTCATTAGAGTATCTCAGTATTTGCTTTGGCAGCACATATACTAACAACTCAGCTGGCCAAACTACATCAGCTAGTTCAAAGGTATGTTTGTTTTAATGTTTTTTTAAATTTTTTTAAAATTTGTTGTTCCCTATCTTCCTTTTCCATTCTGTCCAAATATCTATCAATTTGCTTAGCCCCCTCTTATACAGCCATCTTTTTAATTACCTAAGTACCTATCTCTATGCAAACAACTGTTATCTCCTCCAAACCCACTATTTATAGATAATACTGCCAAGTATTTTTTTTTAGTATTTTATTTTTTTAGTTATTTTATTATATAAATAACTAGTTTGGCATTTGAATCTGTGAATTTGTTATTGCTAAGTTACAGCTACAGGTCAGGGAACAGAAATATAACAACCTAGCTAACAACAAGGTTAGAGCACAAAATTAACATCAGGTAACTAAAATGCCGAACTACCTAATCAACAACACAGAGCAAAGCAAAAAATAGAAACATGGGGAGAAAAAGAAGGCAGGGGAATACAACTCCTCAAAAAACTAACAATAATATAATAGAGGATTTGGTGAGCAGTAAAGAGGACAAATTCCTAGTTGATGACATCAGCAGAATGTTGCTAAGGATGTTCAGTGAGCTTAAGGAAGAGCATAAAGAGGAAGGACATACAAAAACAACTCAATGAATCCCAGGAGAACATGGATTAAAAAAAAAAAAAAGAACTCAAGAAAACACAAAAACAACCAAATAAACTCAGAGAAGATTTCAACAAACAACAAAATGAAACTAAGGAGATTATAAAAAATGAGATAAATGAAATAAAGACCACACAAAACATTAAAGAGATTAACAAAGATATGGAAAGTCTTCAGAAAAAAAGTATCAAACAGAAATCCTGGAAATAAAAGTTCCTTAAGTTGAATAAAAAATAGTTGAAAGCCATTCCAGTAGACTGGAACAAGTTGAAGACAGAATTTCAGGGTTTGAAGACAAGATAGATATTAAAGAAAAAAAAAAAACAGAAGAAATCTTAGACAAAAGACTCAAGAGATGCAAAAGGAATATGCAAGAACTCTGAGACTCCATCAAAAGACCAAACCTGCAAATCATGGGTATCAAAGAAGGAAAACAGGTACAAGTCAAAGGTGTAAGTAATATACTCAACAAAATAATAGCAGAAAATTTCCCAAATCTCGAGAAAGAGATGCCCATTCAGGTACAGGAATCCTCCAGGACACCAAACAGATATGATCAAAATAGAACCTCTCAATGGCATATTATTGTTAAAACAATTAACACAGAGAACAAAGAAAGAATATTAAAGGCTATAACAGAGAAAAATCAGATAACATACAAAGGTAAACCCATCAAAATAACAGTAGATTTCTCAACAGAAACCTTAAAAGCAAGAAGGGTATGGAGTGAGGTATTTCAAGCACTAAAAGAAAACAATTTCAGCCCTAGAATACTCTGTCCAGCAAAGCCATCATTCAAAATTCAGGGAGGATTAAAAACCTTCCATGATAAACAGAAATTAAAACAATACATGACCACTAAACCACCATTACAGAAGATTCTGAAAGGAATCCTACAAAGTGAAGATGAAAACATGGGAATTATTAAACCTCAAGAGAAGAGCAGACAAGTAATCATAGAGTAGCACAGAATTAGTTGCACATCCACAAATCCTTACACAACAAAAACAACTACATAGCAGGAATCACCACATATCTAGCAATATTAACACTGAATGTAATGGCCTCAATTTCCCAAACAAGACACAGATTGGCAAAGAGGATTAAAAAGGAAGACCTGACAATCTGTTGTTTACAAGAAACCACCTTACAGACAGAAACAAACATTGCCTTAGGATGAAAGGATACAAGATTTACCAAGCTAATGCCCCCACAAAACAGGCAGGAGTAGCCATGCTTATAACAGATAAAGTAAACTTCAAATCTATATTAGTCAGAAGAGACAAAACAGGTCACTTCATACTAATAAAAGGAGCACTACATCAAGAGGAAATAACAATTGTTAACTTATATGTGCCCAGTGTCTGTGCACCCAAATTCATTAAAAATACACTACTGGACTTAACACAAATAGACCCCAACACAGTGGTAGTGGAATACTTCAATACTCCTCTATCACCAAAAGATAGGTCATCCAGGGAAAAAATTAACAAAGAAATTCTAGAATTGAATGACACTACAGATCAAATGGACCTGTCAAATGTCTACAGATATCTGCAGACATCTGCAACAGCACAATATGCATTCTTCTCAGCAGTCCATGGAATTCTCTCCAAAATAGACCGTATTTTAGGTCACAAAGCAAGTCTCAACAAATATAAGAAAATTGAAAATATAAGAAAATAGCCCCCTGCACACTATCTGACTACAATACAATAAAACTAGAACTCAACAACAAAACAAATAGCAGAAAATGCTCCAACACCTGGAGACTGAACAACACACTGCTCCATGATCAGTGAGCCACTAAGGAAATAAGGAAGAACTGAAAAAGTTCCTGGAATTTAATGAGAATGAAAGTGCAACCTATCAGAACCTCTGGGACACAGCAAAGGCAGTCCTAAGGGGAAAGTTTATAGCCATGAGTGCATATAATAAAAACACAGAAAGATCTCAAATAAATGACCTAACGCTGCATCTCAAACTCCTAGAAAAACAAGAATAAGTTAAACCAAAAACTAGCAGGAGAGAAATAATAAAAATAAGGGTTCAAATCAATAAAACAGACAAAAAACCTCAAAGAATCAACAAAACAAAAAACTGGTTCTTTGAAAATATAAATAAAATTAACAAACCCCTGGCAAATCTGACTATAACAAGCAATGAAACTGATGAGCAATAAAGAGGCTCAAAAAAAGAAAAGTCTATGACCTGACAGATTCACCTCTGAATTCTACTAGTCCTTTAAAAAAGAACTAATACCAACAATCATCAAACTTTTCCAGAAAATAAAGGGAAAGAGCACTGCCAAACTTATTCTATGAAGCCAGTACTATACTCATCTCAAAACCAGACAAGGACACAACAAAAAAAGAGAATTACAGGCCAATCTCTTTAATGAACAAAGATGCAAAAATCCTCAATAACATGCTGGCAAACTGAATTCAACAGCGTATCAAAAAGATCATACACCACGATCAAGTCAGTTTCATTCCAGGGATGCAGGGATGGTTTAACATATGCAAATCATTCAAAGTAATACAGCATATTAACAGAAGCAAAGGCAAAAATCACATGATATAGCTCAATAGTTACAGAAAAAGCCTTCAACAAAATGCAACATACTTTCATGATAAAAGCTCTGATTAAACTAGTAATAGAAGGAATGTACCTCAACATAATAAAGGATATATATGACAAGCCTATAGTCAACATCATACTAAATGGGGAAAAACTGAAACCATTTCCTCTAAAGTCAGGAATCAGACAAGGCTGTCTACTCTCTCCACTCTTATTCAGCATAGTCTTGGAATTCCTAGCCTGAATTCCAAGACAGAAAGAAGAAATAAAAGGAATACAAATTGGAAAGGAAGTAGTCAAACTATCCCTATTTGCAGATGAGATGATCCTATACTTAGAACATTCAAAAAACTCCTAGACACCGTAACAGTTTCAGCAAAGTAGCAGGATACAAAATTAACTTACAAAAATCAGTAGCCTTTCTATACACCAACAATGAACAGACTAAGAAAGAATATGGGAAAAT